CAACGGGAGCTAGGGCTACCCCACCCAGCATCCCCGAGGCCACCCCAGGGCGTGGCTCTCCACCTTCCTCCTCCTCCTCCTCCTCCTCCTCCCCACCGTGGCCCAGGCGCGCTCCGGCCGCCAGAGGGGGCCGCTGAGGCTCCCTCGACTCCCCGCCCGACGACGGGCTCCGGCTCCCTTCAATTACAGAGCCAGGAAGCGGAAGCGCAGGGCCAACGACGGACTGGAGGACCTCGAGGACACTTCCGGCATTGACCGGAAGTGGCCCTCAAGGGGGATTCTCGGGGAGAGGGGAGTCGTGCGCCCTTCCTCCTCGGAGAGCATTGAAAGAGAGTTGCACAAGAGGCAGAGTCTCCCGGCTGTGAATGGAAAAGCCGCAAGACTCTGCGGTGGTGGTGGGTGAAGGCGGCGCTCCCTCCCTTACCTCTCAGTGGTTGGACACCCTCCGTTCGGTCAAGGACCGGAAGTGCCCTCTAGGACTGCCAAGGAACGGGGTATCGTTGGTCGGGGGGCTCGGGAGGAACCCGCGAGGTAGCTCCGCCCATAAATCTGGAGGCCGGAAGCGCTGCAACAGTTACGGTTCCATTTTCCTTAAGGGCTTGTCTAGGCAGGTCCAGAGGTTTGCTCTATGGCCGCCTGGGGTCTCTCTGCCTGGCTCTGGCTTGTCCAGGCATCTCCTCTGCGGCCAGAAAGGGGCACTGCTTGCCCTCTTTCCCCTTCCCCCCCAGCTGTCCAAACCCGGGGGGGGGTCAGCCCAGGGGTCAGGGCTGGAGGGGGTCGCCCTCCCCTTGGAAAACCCCAGGGCGCAGGCCGGATCCATGGTGCACAAGGTGAAGGGTGGCTACCAACACGTGAACATAAGCATATGGGATGCTAAGTACAGCTCGTTAACTTTTCATCATCATCATTCAACCTGGAAGGAACCCTGTGGATCATGGAGGCCAGCCGCTGTCAAGGAGGCACCGGGGAGAATCAAACTCCCAACGTCTGACTAACTTGCTATGAATGAAAGAGTAGCTCCTTGGGTTTTCGGGATGGGCACAGAGGGTGTGCAATGGGATGGAAGCTGAAGGGACCTCAAAACAGAAGTAGGGACTTCTTTTCAGTGGCAGTCTACCGGCATTGTCAATATTCTTCCGACGTTCTCCATATAGCTTTGCAACAGGATACATGCCAGGATGTTCTGGCTATAGAATCATATTCTGACCGAGCCAGTGTGGGGAGTGTAATTGTTTGAATATTAAATTTGGAAGAGGAGGAAACGGGTTGAGATCCCTGCATAGTGAAAAAGTTTCGTAGGTATCCCATAATATACATACTGGGTATTGGTATCCATTTTTATGGATAGCAAAAGAACTTCCTACAAATCTATGTGAACCCCAGTGGGACCACATGCACACAAACACAGACACACACACAAAGAGAAACATTCGTTTAATTTTGTAAGCCACCAACGGCCCCTTTCAGAAAGAATACAAAGTAGCAATATTTAAATTAACTTCAAGAAAAATAAAGATATGTCTCTACTGTGATTTTGGTTAGAAACATTTCCTGGACTCCTCTTTCAGAGACCACCCAACCGGGGTCTCTCACCTCCTGGCCTGACCCAGGCTTTCATTGCAATTGTCCAAAGAATTTTAAGAAACGATGGTTCCAAAGCAGAGACGGGTGCTTTCTGTCGACTTGTGTCCTTGTTTCCAACCTGCGACCAGTCAGGAAAACAAGGCAGGCCTGCCATTGTTGGGGTGCAGGGGGAAACAGGCCCTGCCATTTTTGGGGTGCAGGGGCAACAGGACCCTGACCCCTCTTTGTGATGTCATGTTTTGATGCAGTTCATCACCCTAATAAACCTCTGGTCCAGGACAGCAGCCACCCATCTGGTGAGTGACCGGCGCTCAGTCAGCTGTCTTGATCCAGTGAAGGTAGGTTGTGGCATTACTGTTATTGCCTTGCTTTCCATCAGTAAACAAAATGCATAGAGACAAGAAGCATATCTGGTGTCCGTTCTCCAGAAAAAGAGAATGGGAAAACTAGTTATTCTTTACTCTCATTCATGCTGAATCTTTCTCTTCATTTTCTCTTTCTGGTATGTCTATGTGGATTGGGAAGAAGGGGAGCAGGACACTTTCAATTATTCTGGGTGTGACAGCCTGTCCAAAAATCGCTAACCATTCCACAAAAGTTTTCATCTGTGCTGCAAGAATGAGATCACACAGAGAGAGAGAGTGTGTGTGTTTATGTGTCTGTGATTCCTGGGAGGGGTTCTGTACAAAACCCTTGGCTTCCCCCTCCTGTGCAGTAAAGCAAGCATGCATACAGCTGCCACTGGAGGATGGGCTGATTGGCCCAAAAGATGCAAGCAACCCATTTGGTGCTTCTGGGTCTTAAGAGCCTGCCAACAGCGATCCCAGGCGGCAGTCATTCTTTCCGATAGAAGAACAGTTTATTCATTTAGCTTATATGCCATCCGTATTACCCAAAGGTCTCTCTGCAGCTCAGTTGTGAGCTGCAGAGAGTATTTTTCCATCTGACGGGTGCAGGGAACTTCTTGGCATGTTGAGAATGAGATGAGGAAGCATTTAGCTCACTAACTGGGTATATCAAGCCCTGTTTGATTCCTGTACATGAACAGGCTAAGGCAGGGGGAATCTGTGCGGTTTCTTTCAGAATCTCAGGGGGATGCAGGCGAGGAAGACTTTTTCCCCTCCTCTAATTGTCTGTTTTCTCCCTTGTCCTGCAGAAAATGGCATGCCTCTGACTGTCTGGGGGACAGGAAAGCCCAGGAGGCAGTTCATTTACTCTCTGGTAATCTCAAGGGCTGAGGCGTGGGGGAAAGAGGGAGCAGCCACCGGGGTGCCAAACGTGGGCGCAACTGCAGAAGCCGTTCAGGACCGCTGGGAGAATTTAGATTTTTTCTTCCATCCCATGAACAGAGCAGGCAAAAAGACCATGGTTAAAACTAGTTACCCATTCAGTTCCACTGTAGTTCTTAGGAGGCAGCTTATTCTTGCTTCCTTCTCACCTTAAGAGTTTTGTATTTTTGGTAACCTTGCCAGGTAGGCTCCTGGGCCAAGTATTTATATATTTAATGACAATATTTATACCCCCACCTTTCTCCTGGAAAGGACCCAGACTAAGAGGTATTCGTTCAGAACCTTTGGGAAGATTAGCGCCACTGCTTTGCCAAGGAACATCGAATGCACGAGTTTCCAGGATCTAGATTGAAAGACCTCACAAAGGCTTCTGTTTGGCGGTTCGTTAAACCAGTACTTAGAAGAATTCCCTTTTTTTTATTTTTTATTTTGGACGCCGGCTTCCCCGAATCAGCAGTCCGATCAGCAGCCCGGCTGGCTGGAGCATTCTGGGGATAAGAGTTGGGTGAAGTAATTTTTGAAGGAAGGTTACCAAAAATACAAAACTCTCGATAGCACCAGGCAGCTGACCGTTCCCATGGATTTGGGGTGCGTCTGCAACGGAGACACACGTTCCCGCACAGGGTGAGGGAGCCTGGCAAGCGTCCGGTCCCCAAAAGGAATCTCCAGCCGCGCAGCATGCGGTTCAACTTCTCAGGATCACAAGCTGTCGAGGCGGACGGCACCAATTCACATTCTTTGAACGGTGGAGGATTTCATGAGGGGTTTCAGAGTTCAGAGGGTTTCCCTAAGATCCTACGCCAGCCGTGTTGCACTCCACAGGCTGTTACTCTGAGGAAATGGGTGAAGGGGGGGAAGGATGGTGATCCCCCTGGGGCCATTAAAAAAAATTCCCTTGGCTCATTTGGGAAATGCTTGCCACCATGCCTCCTATGATGCCCTGACTCCCTGCTCTCTGATATCTGGAGACACTCTTGTTTT